GGCAAGTCACTTAACTTCTCTCAGCCTCAGTTTGCACATTTATAAAATGCAAATAATAATATTACCTAACTCACAGGGCTGTTGTGATGATCAAATGAGATAACATATAGAAAACACTTTGCAAACCTTAAAGTGCTATAGACATGCAGAGAATTAGTCAAAGCAATTGGGAATGTGTAGTGTAGAGAAAGGAAAACTCAGGGGGGATCCTAATAATATATAATATAATAATCCTCATATCGAAGATTATTAGACTTGTTTGGTTTCAACCCAGAAGGCAAAACCAGGAAAATTCAGTGGAAGTTTCAAAGAGGCTAATTTTAGGCTAGTTATTGGGAAGACATTTCTAACAATGAGAACTATCCAAAAATGAAATCACCTGCCTGGAAAGGTAGTGAGTTCCCCCTCATTGAAGGTCATCAGGCAGAGAATAATGGCCATTTGTTGGGCATATTACAGTGGGGATTCCTTGGTTGGAAGTTGGGTGACCTCCCTACCAAGTCCAAAGTCTTTGTCCTGTGACTATGAGTAGTTAACGCCCTGTAGGGTATGGCATGTGATGCTGGGTACTCCCATGGACAACCACAACCAAACTGTAACTCTCTCAGTGCTACTAGCTTGTAACCTTAGTCATTTATTTCTTCAGTTTCAAAAGCAATTTAGTGAGTAGTATTACATTTACTGGAATATACTCTTGAATTACCTAAATCTAAGAAAATTCTCTCTCTAATCAGCATGTCCCCCATGTCAAAGTAAAGTAAGTAAGATATAGAGAGCTACCATTGGGCTTGAACCTAACGTCAACTTCCAAGGGAGAAAAAGGAGCTGCTGACTGGAATTCGACTTACTATCACCGCTGTCAATTGATTTTCAGCCTGGTATCAGCTTCAATCTACTCCTCCAACCCTTGTCTTCTCTCCTTTTATTATCCAGTCTAGGGCTATCTACTTGTGTCTGACTTTTGCATCTCTACCTTTGCTATCACCTCATATATATGGATTCAAATTGAGATTCCTTCCAGAACCTCAAAATTCTCCTGGACACAATGAGCTCTTCCAGAATATCTACTAAAAGTCTAACTCTCTTCAGAATATCTGACAATACATTAATAGCAGATTTTTCTGTCCTTTCAAGCTAGTCTTCCAATGTCTTTGATCCCCTTAAAATTATAATAAGTCTTTTTGTTCCTGTGTTTCAGGAAACCAGGGCTATAGACCTGTTTGGATTATGCTACCATCTATACTATGATGATATGGGGGTTTTCAAAGTGCCATTTTATGAGTTTTCTTTGGGTTTTGTTTCTTTGTTTTGGCAGTCAATTGCTTGGCAATCAATAGAGAGCTGGTCTGAGAATTATGAAGACCTGAGTTCAAGTCCTGACACATAGTGGCTATCATTTAACCTCTTAGTGCTCTAGTGGTGGTGTTGAATTCAAATAGAAAAGTAACCCTTCTGGTTAGGTAATGAATGATGCAAGGGATTGGAGAGTAGAGGAGAGAATACAGTTGAATTTGCTAACTAAAGGGCTACAAATAAGAAAGGAGGAAAGTGAAGCCTGAGGGACAGAGACATTGGAAGTCCTGTTGAGGACAGAGAACAGGTTTAGGAGGAATAAAGCATTAGGAGAGATGGGATTGTAGGATCTTATGATAAAAATAAGAGCATGGGGGCAGCTAGGATAAAGCACCAGCCATGAAATCAGGAGGACCTGAGTTCAAATGCAGCTTCAGACACTAGCTGTGTGACCCTGGGCAAGTTACTTAACCCTCTCCCCCCCAAAAAAAGAGAAAAAGAAAAAAAAAGAAGAGACTTGGCAACAGATTGTTTATGTGCGGTGAATGTGAGTGAGAAGACAGGATGACACTGAGGTTGGAAGTCTTGGATGACAAGGAGAAGGGAGCTGCCCTGACTGATAGGGAAGTCGGAATGGGCCATTGGAGAGATAGAGTTGGGCTACATGTGGATGACAGAATGTGAAGTAGAGGCTGGGGAGAAAAGTGGTATATTCTTTGGTATCTGAAGATTCAGTATCACTAGGATCAGGAGGGTGAGAGATAATGGAAGCTTGGTAGCCATAAGGAAAGAGTCTGGAGAGAGGAGTAGATGGCATTTTCACTGATTCATTTAAGTACTTATGTGCCCATTAAGGTCATTTTGTGTAATTCATTAAAACTCCTTATAAATTTTAAGTAGATTTTTCACTTTCTTTTTTTTTGGGGGGGTGTCTATGTTCTCTTTTGCAACATGATTAATATGGAAATATGTTTTGTGTGACTGCCCATATGTAATCTATATCAAAGTGCTTGCCTTCTCAAGGAGGGAGAAGGAGTGAGAGGGAAGGAATTTGGAATTCAAAATTTTTTTTTAAAAATGAATGTTAACTGTGTGACCCTGGGCAAGTCACTTAACCCCAATTGCCTCACCAAAAAGCAAAAACAAAAACAAACAAAAAAGAATGTTAAAATTGTTTTTACATGTAATTGAGAAAATAAAATAAAAATATTCTGTAAAAAAAAAATAAATTATAAGTAGAGTAATTTGCCTTTTGTTCTCTTCTCCTCTTTCCCTCCTCCCCAGCCTCTGGGGATACCAAAGTCCAATCCAGGCTCACCTCAAGTGTCATTTCCTGTATGAGGCCCTTCCTGAGCCCTGCTAGTGCTCTAAAACACTCTCAGAAATTACCTTTTGTATTTAGTTTGCATTTGCTTGTCTGAATACCTGCTATTTTCTCCCATTAGAATGTAAGCTATGTGAGGACAAGGATTGGTTTTTTTTTTGTCTTTGTATCTATAACATGTTGTTTAATTGTTCAGTTGTGTCTGCTCTATGTGATCCTATGGACTTTGCCTATGGGGTTTTCTTGGCAAAGATACTGGAGTGCTTTGCCATTTCCTTCTCCTTTGTGTCACCATTTGACAGATGAGGAGCTGAGGCAAATAGGGGTCACACAGCTAGTGTCACACAGTTAGTGTCAGAGGCCACATTTGAACTTAGATCTTCCTAACTCCAGGCCTGGTGCTCTATCCACTGTACTACCTGGCTTCCCCTACCTATAACATAGGTGGTCCTTTAAAAATGCTCTTTAAATTGAATTGAATAGCTTTGGACCATTCAAAAGTTCAAAACTTTACCAAGAAACAGGATGAATTCCAATAATTACCCTTTTACCTTAAGTGGAAAAAGTGAAAGAGCTGTCTAAACTGACAGCTGATATTTCCACTAGCCACATGATCTAAGTAAGGCTTATTACAGTCTTACTGAACCAGAGAAACTCAAACATGTCGGGAAAATTACTTCTCAAACAGTGATTTGTGAATAGGGATATTAAGCCTTGGAATTCTGACTACTGAGAAGTTACTTAACCCCAGGTCAACATAGCAGGTGTCAAACATTTAGGACACAGCTTACAAATGAGGGGGGAGGAGGCAGGGAAGGGAAAACACCAAATAGGAGATAATTTATTAAAAACCAGCTTAGTCCCTGATGAGTCAAATCAGTAAGCATTTATTAAGCACTACTCTGTCCCTGGCACTGTTCTAAGTGCTGAGGATACAAACAAAGGCAAAAATAGTCCCCAATTTCAAGGAATTCATAGTTGAATAGGGGAGATAATATGCAAACAAGATATAGATAGATAGATATGATGTTAATATATGTTTATTATTGGATGTATATGTATGAATACACGTATATATCATACATATATGTGTATTTATTGCATATAAGATGTGTACATATATGTATAATATACAATGCATACACAAATAATTGGAGATAATCTCTGAAGGAAATCGTTAAATCACTAACATTAAGGACTGGGAAAGTCTTCTTGCAAAAGACAGGATTTTAGCTGAGATTTGAAGGAAGCCATGAAAGCCAAGGAGGTAGAGATGAGGAGGGAGAAAAATCCCAATAAAAAAAGGACAGAGTTGGAGTTGGAATGCCTTGTGTGAGAAACAGCAAGAAAGCAGCCGTGCTACTGGATCACAGAGTATGTGAAGAGCAATAAGGTATGAGAACACTGGAAAGGTAGGAAAGGGCCAGGTGGTGAAGGACTTTACAAGTCAAACAGAGGATTGCATGCCCAATCCTGGAGGTAAAAGGGAGCTGCTGAAATTATTTTTTTTAAGGGGGGGGAACATGGTCAGACCTGAGCTTTAGGAAACTCAACTTGATAGCTGAGTGGAGGATAGACTAGAATGGGGGGAGATTTAAGGCAGAGGGACCAACCAGAAGATTTTGGCAAAGGGGAAAAGGGGGCATTTACAGAGTTTCTTACAAAGGTAGAATGGACAGGCCTTGACAACAGACTAGATATGGGGAATGAGTGAGAGTGAAGCTTGAAAGATAATACCTAGGTTGTGAGCCTGGGTGACTGGGGGGATGATGGTCATACCCTCAACAGTAGCAGAGAAATTAATGTGAATTTCTTTATGCTGCTAGTTTTGTTATGGCTGTGAGTTGGCCTCACCCATAAAACTTTAGAGCTAGGTGGAAGAGCCAAAGAGTAGGTGAGGTTGGGATGAACCTGAGAGATATTTTGTTGAGAGTGAGCTAGCTCATTGGGATTTTCATTGAGAAAGGACAGGCCCAAATAACATAGCTTTCTCTAAGAATCATTATGCTTTTTATTTCCTCTGGCTATCTTACGGTACTAACATTTAATTAGTCCTGCTATGCCCTTAAACGATCAAGTTAATGTAGTATCTAGAAGTGGAAGGCATGGCCAGAATGGAGCAGAGACTGAACTGAGTATATAAGCAGCAGCAACAGAAGCCAAGACCTATAGCATCTAGCCCAGCTGGAGCTGAAGAACACAGAAAGACAGCTACAGCAAGAGCTGGCCAGAATGGTCAGGCCCAAACTAGTGCTAAGATCCCAGTGAAGAGCTAATAATGCTTTATTCTACTTGCACTAGCAAGGGCAGCAGCAAGAGCAGAAGGAGAGGTTGGAATCTGAATATCCAAACCATTTCTTGAGACCTCTGTGTTTTAACTTACCTGCCAAATTATGAGGATGATAGCTTGCTCTAAGAAAGAAAGCCCAGTTTGTTGAGGTTGGAGTTGGGAGAGCTGGTTCAGATGTGAAAGAATTCACTTAGACCTTCTCTGTAGCCATTGGTCATGAGTTCAGGGTGGGCCCCAAGAATATTGGGGCGCTACCTGAAATGATGAGGAATAGAAATGAGGGTGGTCCTAGTGTCCTGAAAGAATTCACTCAGTCTCCAAGTGAAAGATAGGGATTTATTGGGGTGATGTACCCAAGCAGGTCTGCTCCCCATGAGGCAGAGCCCCAGTGGGCTCTTCTCCATGTGGGAGGCAGAACATAGGCTGCAGGCCTTGCTCCCTAAGGGAGCAGAGTGGCCCCTGCTTCCTGTAGGAGGCAAAGGCCATTAGCCAGGTCAAAGGTATGATTTTAATACAATTTTATGGAATAGGGGAAAGGGACAAGAGACTGGGAGGAGCAAGTGTGGCTCCAAAATGCCTGGGACATCAGCTAGACCAGAGGTGATAAGCAAAGAGAACAGAAAAGGGGAGGGGAAGAGCTTTGTGAAAGCACACAGGTAAATCCAAGTGGGGGCTTCAATGCAGAGTCGTCTTTGATCACTCTTCTGGTCACATCCTGCATCTTATCTCCTATTTGCCTCAAGCACTCTTTTCTACTTCATCAAGTCTGCTGAGGGTTTTGATGTATATGCTTTTACTCCTTTTCCTATTGTGATGGTGAAAGACCTGTGTACAACATACTGTGTCTTTGAGAGTAAACTTCACTGAAACACAGGGATGCGAAAAGGGAGAGAGTGTTTTTCTAGTGGATGGGGACACTGAATTAAGAATCTAACTGGATAAATTGACAGGATAAGCATTCTTATGCATAAAAAGTGTCACAAAAAGGGAAGGAAGTAGCCAGCTTCCTAAGAGCTAGAGGGAAAGCAAGAGTGAGAACGAGAGACAGACAGACAGAAAGAGACACAGAGAGAAAAAGACACAGACAGACAGACAGAGAGAGCTTGGTATTACTCAGGGCACTTCCTGGTGTTGGGTGGAGCACAGAACCCTTGAAGATGAATATTTAATAACTGACAGTCCTTGGTCCTTATTACTGAACAGGATCAGGCAATGACCAGAAAACTAGAATAAGGATGCTAATAGGTACTCTCACTCTTTCCCCTCCATTTATAATTATTAAATAATTCACAGGAACCAGGATTCAAAACCACATTTCTGGCTTCAAAGTTAGTATTACAGTTATCGTTATTATCAAACATTATTTGTACTGTGACTTTCTGGTTGTCAGGAGATTAGAACACTGTGGGACTGAGAGAGGAGAGGGGCTGTTGTGTGCACAGGAAAATTCCAATTCTAGATGCCAAAGTTTGAGGACCAATTAATCAATTAATTAATCAACAAGTATTTATTAAGTACCTACTTTGTGCTAGGTACAGTGGATTCAGAGACAAAAACAAAACAGTCCCTACTTTGGAGGAGATTACATTCTACAGGAGAAACAATATGTATACATTTATATAAGTCTGCACAAAATTTTTACAAAATAAATACAAAGCAATTGTTTTGTGGGCTAGAACACCAGAAGCTGGGGGATCAGAACAGGCTTTATGTGGGACCTGGAGGTTGAGCTGAATTTTGAAGGAAGGATTCTAAGATGTGGAGTTGAGGAGACAGTGCCTTCCAGTAAGGGGGGCGCTACCTGTGCAAAGGCCAAACAAGATCATGGGTGAGGAACAGCAAAAGGACTAGCTTGCCTGGATTGTAAAGTGGGTGAAGTAATGTGTTCTAAGCCTGTAGACTGATTGAGTGTTGATTATGGATTGTGTCTGAATGGTAAGTTTCTGAGATCCCTGTAATGTCTGTGGGGCAGTCCATTCCCTTCCTACCCCTTCCCACAAGCAGATCTGTAGTTTGGAATATGACAGACAGCAAGCGCTCAGCACAGGAGCACCAGGTATTGATTAAGTTGCTGGTGTATGGTAAAAATATGGTAGGAATGTAGGGACCACCTTTGGTACAGTGTTAGAGTATGGTGCGACAGTCACTAGCTGTGGTGAGCTGTGCATTACTTGGCATGAGAAAAATGAGAGAGTGCCAGAAAGGAACAGAATTGTTTAGACTACCGGCTGGTTCTATGGTATTTGTTTTGAGTTTCCTTCCGCTGTGCTGTTTTCATTGCGGTAGAGGGTGCTTATGAGGATTTGTGGCTTGGTTTCTGAATTCCCACAAGTCATATGCCAATGTGGGAGCAAGCAATGTTATATCTATGAAATCTGAGCTGGTCTAGTACAATTTATCTGAACCTTGTCAACTGAACCTGCCTGCAGCTCCCATCACTGAGAGAGTATTTATAGCAAAAAAAAAGAGAGAAGAGAGAGAGAGAGAGAGAGAGAGAGAGAGAGAGAGAGAGAGAGAGAGAGAGAGAGAGAGAGAGAGAGAGAGAGAGAGAGAAAAGAAAGGGGCAGCTAGGTGGCACAGTGGATAGAGCACCGGCCCTGGAATCAGGAGGACCTGAGTTCAAATCCGGCCTCAGACACGTGGTACTCACTAGCTGTGAGACCTGGGCAAGTCACTTAACCTCATTGTCTAGTAAAAAACAAACAAAAAGAGAGAGAGTATTTGGCCGATTGAGGTGGAGATAGCACCAGGCAACTTTACACTTATAGTCAATGTTTTGATATGAAACATTTCCATTTGGGATGAGCAAATTCATTCTGAAAAAAATATATATATACACACACATACATAATGTACATATATACATGTACATAATACACACACAAACACACACATATTTACCTTACTCTACCATCTTCACTTGTTGAAATCCTACTCATTCTCAAAGACCAGCTCAAATGTCACCTCCTCTATGAAGCCTTCTCAGATATTCCCTCAGCTGGGAATGATCTTGCTTTCCTTCAACTACATGTGGCAGTTTATTTGCATCTTTTCCTAAAGTCACATTGTATTTTGAATTAAAAGTGGGACTTCGAATTTAGGACTGCATTCTATGGGAACTTAGCTCAACTATTTAATCCATCACCTCTCTGTCAGGAGGTTGGTCCAATGGAACCGTGGTTGATTATTGTGTTGATCACTTTTTAGGTCCTTCAGAATTATTTGGTTTTCAAGTGTTATTTTTGTAGTATAAATTGTTCTCCTGGCTCTGCTCACTTCATTCTGCATCATTTTAAAGTGAGATTCAAGTAACGCCTGCTCCCTCCACCCTTTCTTCTTGTGTATAGACTTCTACTAGCTCCTTTCCATTATGTAAAATAATAATCCACCCACCCCATTCCTCTCCTCTTTTTCCCTAGTATATCTTTCTTCTGCCTCCCTTTCCTTTATTTAAGATCATCAAAACATAACAAAAATCACTTCCAGGACCTCTACCTTATTTGACTCCCTCTGTGGCCCCTGCTGACATCACAGTTGTTTGGGGATTCTTAGATCATTCCTCCCTGCCCCAAAATATATCATCATTATAAAGTCTTTTCTGATTTCTCTTTTGTAGGTATGTTTTTATATTTCCTTTACTTCCATATTTATATTTCAAACTTTAAAATATGATCCAGTCTTTTCATTACGAATTTTTGAAAATCCTTTATTTAATTAAAAGTCCATCTCCCCCCCGTAGGATTATATTTTTGCTGGAGAGATTATTCTTGGTTATAAATCTGTGGGACCTGCTAAATCCTGTACAATTCTGACTGGTTTCTTGGCACTTAAACTCTCTTTCTGGCTATTTGCAGTATTTTTTTTTTCTTTGACCTGTAAACTTTAGATTTTGGCTGCTGTAGTCCTGTGAGTTTTCATTTTAGGGTTTCTTTCAGGAGGTAACTGGTGAATTCTATTCTCATTTTGCCCTTTAGTTCTCAGAGATCTGGGCAGTTTTCTTTCATGATTTCTTGAAATATGGAGTCCAGGGTCTTTTTGGACATGGCTTTCAGATAGTATAATGATTTATAAATTATCGCTTGAACTATTTTCTAAGTCAGTTGTTTTTGATAAGGGATACTTTACATTTTCTTCTATCTTCCCCTTATCTTTTGACTTGTTTTAATATTTCTTTTTTTTCTTTTTTTTGTGAGGGCAATTGGGGTTAAGTGACTTGCTCAGGGTCACACAGATAGTGAGTGTTACGTGTCTGAGGTCAGATTTGAACTCAGGTCCTCCTGACTCCAGGGCTGGTGCTCTATCTACTGCGCCACCTAGCTGCCCCTTGTTTTAATATTTCTTTTTTGTCTCATGGAGTCATTAGCTTCTGTTTGGTTCATTCTATTTTTCAGAAGTCAGTTACTTGGGTAAGGTTTCATATCTATGTGTCAAGCTATTAATTCTCTTCCCGCAACTCTCTTCCATAGCTTTCTCTCTCTCTCTTTTTTTCCACATTTTTTCTTCTAGTAATCTCATTTAATTTATAATACCATTTTAATGTGAGTTTTTAAATTCACATCATTTTTTCTTTTTGGAATTCAAGTTGATTTTATGAGCAACTGATGTTTTTCTTTGATACTTCACTTGTATGCACTTTGGAGTTATTCTCTTCTTCTGGGTTTGGGGCGTAGGCAATCCTGACCTCATAATAGCTCTTTATCTTTTTAAATTTTAGTTATACTCCTAGTGATATGCTCTGAGTAATAAGGCATTACTAGCCTACCTGGAAGCTCTTTCAGGGCTGAATCCGTGATTCCAGACCTTCTTCTCTGATTCCCTGGCAAAAGACTGAGTCCTTGCTTTACTCTCCTTGCAGGGGTCCCTGGGGGCTAATCCATGCTCCAGACCAAGATCTGTTAGCCTGGCTAAGTTCGTGGTCCACTCTGAGTTTCTATGTATTACAGACCTAGCTGGGAGTTCAGGGCACTGAATCTGTGCTCCCAGCTGGACCTGCTAGCCTAGACCAAGAGCTGAGTCTGTGATCCCCTCTTGGCCCTGGAAGACCCTCTGTGGATCCTGTGCATTTGTCTTGTACCCAGGACTGAGTCCAAGATCCATTCTGGCTGTCCCTGCACTGCTGATACAGCTCAGAGTGCTGGGTGCTGAGCCTATGGTCCCAGGCCACCCCTGTATGGTAGTTCTTACCCCAGTCACTTGCCTGGAGGTTGTTTTGTGATCTTGGGCTGGAAAGATCACTCACTGTAGTTTCTCCTTCAATTTCTCTATTACTTCTTAATCTGATATTCTTAGATCATTGTTGAAACAGTAGTGTGGGAGGCTGGAATGGAGTCCTTCCTCTTATCCCACCATCTTGGTTGGCCTCTCCAAAACCGTAAGTTGCAAAGAAGGAACTATCCTACAATGAGAGAAGGAGTTTTCCTTACCAGCAGTTCCCTAAATCAATGAAATCTCAGATCCAGTCTCTATCCCTAATATATTCATCATAGCTCCCAAATTCAGGTAACTGGAATCAGGGCAAATGAAGATTGTCCTTATGGAATGTCCATGCCTCTCTGGAAAGAGATGTCAAAATAGAATTAGAATTAATAACGTAATGCTCCTCTTGCTTCCGGAGGAGCTTTGGGGTGTTGGATTTAAAGAATTCCTGAGTCCTAGCCTGGAATTGCCATCAGTTGTCCCCTTCATTGTTCTCACTTCACTTTTAGCTAACTCTCCACTCTGCTCTACCATCACTTTAGCTGACAGGCACCCTTGAAGGTCCCCTTCTTCCCTTTCCTTTCTTTCTCCTCTCTTCTCCTCTGCCCTTCTCTCTTTGTCCCTCTTTCCACTTCCCCTTTCTTTTTTATCTTTACACTAGAATATAAACTCCCTAAAAAGTAGAACTTTCTTGTTTCTGTAAACCCAGCACTTAACCCAGTGCCTGGCAAACAGGAAATGCTAAATAGATGATCTAGCTATATCTCTATCTATATCAATATCATCTATATTTCTATTACCTATATCATCATTCATCATCTATATTTGTGTCAACTTCTATATCTATCTACTGATCTATCATTGTATCTGTCTGTCTTTATCATCTCTATGTTGATATATTCCTTCACTACGATCATATCAGAATCTATCAAATTCAATGCTTGCTATGTAATAGGTGCTTAATCAGAACCATAACTAGACATCTCTCCACTTTAGGGCAAAAATCATTTGAAAGGGGCAGGATCTTGGTACAGAACAGTGGTTCCCATTTAGCGTTTCAAGGCGCTCATGCTAAATTTTTTTAATGGCACCTTAATCAGTACATAATTGTAAAGAATATTATTAGTAATATATTATATTATCAGGGTGGGGGGAGAGCTTGCAACATTTATTTTTGTTGTTGGAATGAATTTGCAGAACCAAAAACATTAGGCACTACTGGTACAGAAAATAATCCATTAAAGGGGAATAGAAGCAGTATGACTGAGAGTGGACACAGAAGACAGTTCCATTGTAAACACAATCAAGTAAGCAGAGAGGAAAGTCTATCCCTTATGCCTATAAGCCATGAGATTGGTGGTCATGGTGGTGGCAGAGGAAAAAGGGGGTTCAGGGAGAATGACACCATAACAACAGGACCCTGGTAGGGTTAAGCAAGGGAATGGGATTTACAAGAAGGAATGTAAGGTCCAGGGTCAAAGATCTATAGACTATTGCTGGGAGGAAGTGCCTACCTTTCCATGACATGTGCTCTCTCTCATAAGGACAAAACTCCAGAGCAAAGCACCAGTTGTCCCAACTTATTTCCAACTCTATGTTTAACCATTGTTTGTGGAATTGGATTGAATTTCCCCCTGAGTTCACCTGACTTCTTAGCCTGTGATTAGAAGGTTGGGCAGTTACAAAACTTAATCATTTTATACTTTTTTTTTTTGGTGAGGCAATTGGGGTTAAGTGACTTGCCCAAGGTCATGTAGCTAGTGAGTGTCAAGTGTCTGAGGCTGGATTCGAACTCAGGTCCTCTTGACTCCAAGGAGCTTTATCCACTGAGCCACCTAGCTGCCCCTCATTTTACACTGTCTTGAGGTTAATGAAGACTTGAGGATAACTAGATTTCCTTTCCCCAGTAGAGGAATGTGCTCAAGTATAGGAGACAGTAAATTGCTATAAATGTAATGATTCGACTTTTCAAATTTGTTGTTATTCAGTTGTTTCAGTAATGTCCAACTCTTCATAACTCCTTTTGGGGTTTTCTTGGCAAAGATACTGGAGTGGTTTGCTATTTCCTTCTCCAGCTCATTTTACAGATGAGGAAACTGAGGCAAACAGGATTAAGTGACTTGCCCAGGGTCACACAGCTAATAAGTTTCAAGTGTATGATGTCAAATTTGAACTCAGGTCCTCCTGACTCCAGGGCTGGTGCTCTATCTACTGCGCCACCTAGGTGACCCAGTAGTGTTATCTCAAAGTAATGGAATTGCAACCTAATTTGCAGGTCACAAACACATATTGTGAGATCATCTACTTCACTCACATTAGATACCAAGACAAAGATATTTCCACCCCACTTGGTCTCTGTGACACACCAAGGAAGCATGTTCACATTGTGGCCCCTTACTAAGTTTAGGTGACATTATATATATATATATATATATATATATATATATATATTATATATATATATATATGGGGCCAGGATTTGGCCACCTGTTACTTTTAAACTGTTAAAGGTACCGCATCATGAATATTAGCTATTGAGGGCATTTCCAGAGGGCACGTACTGACTTTTGCACTTTTGTTCTGGCACTTTGGGCTAGTCCGGCTCTTTGAAAGCTGGTCACCAACAGCACCAATCTTATACTAGAGAAGGGTGACTTTTGAATAACTAGAGAAGAGAACTGAGATCCAGACATCTGTGGTTCCCTTGGAGGCTGCTGACAACCTTTACATGAACCTGGGTAAGTTACTTAATTTCTTTTTGGTCCTATTTTTCCCTTTGACCCAAAGTTCATTTGTGATTAGTTTTGAGATCTTTTATGATGTTCATAAAATCATGAATACAATGAATGTTTACCAACTAACTTGGTCAGCCTAGGTGTTAACTTAGGCAGCTAGGTCTCCGTGCTGTTCAGTCCTTTCAGTTGCTTTTGACTCTGTGTGACCCCATTTGGGGTTTTCTTGGCAAAGATATTGGAGCGATTTGCCATTTCCTTCTCCAGGTCATTTTATAGAAAAGGAAACTGAGGCAAACAGAGTTAAGTGACTTCCCCAGGGTCACTTAACCCTGTTTTGCCTCAGCTTCCTCATCTGTAAAATAGCTGGGGATAATAACAACAGCACCAGGGTCATTAAGAGGAACAAATAGAATAACATTTGTAAAGTACTTTCTATAAACCCTAAATCACACTGTTATAAATATTACTTAGCTAGCTATTCTTGGTCACTAAGTCTTAGCATGGTATAGAGCTAGGGTCAGGATATTGTGTAGAAAGAAGGTTAAATCTGAATCAGGAAGATCTGGTCTCAGATTCCTACTCTGCTAGTTACATACCAGTGTGACCTTGAACAAGTCACGTATCTCAGCCTTAGTTTTCTTTTCTGCAAAATGAGGGTATTGAACTAGATCTTTCGGGTCTCATCCAGCTCTGAATTAAGTAACACTCAAAGCTTGAATGAGGGAATTTTTTTTTAAAGCGATTGGGTTAAGTGACATGCCAGGGTCACATAGCTAGTAAGTGTCAAATGTTTGGTCTGAAGCCAGATTTGAATTCAGTCCTCCTGACTTTCTATCTACTGCGCCACCTAGCTGCCCTTGAATGAGGGAATTTTAGGAAAGATATTAAGGGATAACTTCATATAATATGCAATTAGAAGTACTTACTAGAACCAAAAGATAGATGTACAGGCTAAAAATCTCAATAGATTGAAGAAGAGTTTCAGATTAAATTTGTGGGTGACAAAACTATAAAGTGCTGTTGGGACATATTGTTAGGTGTCTGGGGAACGTGTATTATTATGAGAGGTTAAAGTACTAGGAAGTAAGAAAACAAATGTTGATTAAACACCTACCATGTGCCAGGTACTATGTGCTAAGCACTTTGCAATATTATCTCATTTGATCCTCACAACAACTCTGGGAGGTTGTGTTAAAATTGCATCTTGGGCAGATAGGTGGCACAGTGGATAGAGCACCAGCCCTGGAGTCAGGAAGACCTGAGTTCAGGTCTGGCCTCAGACACCTGACACTTAGAAGGTGTGTGACCCTGGGCAAGTCACTTAACCCCATTGCCTAAAATTAAGTAAATAAATAAATAAAATAACAATAAAATTGTATCTTGTTCTGTTCCCCCGACCACTCCCCATCTCCCCTTTTAGTCACTATAATAAGTTTACAAGTAGACAGTATAAAGTAACAATAGCCAGAAATAAGATTGCAAAGATTGAACTAAAGTCAAGTACAGACCGTCCCAAAGATCAAACTGTATCATGTGTTAACCAAAAATCACAACCCAGTAATAACAAGCGCTAAATCAGAGGAAGCCATCTAAACTTCACTGCTAAGGATTTTTTGGTCCTATGATATGTAAATCTCAGATGAACTCCAGACATCTGCAGTAAGACCAGCAGCACACCAACTGGTGCTGATAACTTTAAGGTGCCATATGTATGTTAACTTTTAAGTTTTACTGACAACTTGGAGATAATTTGGATATGTTAATGAATTAACCCTCAAGGTGGTACAGATGAGAAGAGTTAGTCTGTTCTTCCCTCCCCCACCCCCAAATCCTATAAAAATGAGACCCCAAACTCTGGCCCTCTGAGCACAAGTCCATCTCCATGGGTTCCATGCTTCCGAGCGCTTCCCACTGGGTTATGTGAGTGTTCTCTGCGCCTCTCCCCTCCTGAGCCTCTTCCTTACACTGGCCTGCCTGCCCTCCTTCACCACTTTATCCCTGTCTCCATGGTTTCTGCCTCTGCATCCATCCCCCTTTTGCCACTTGTCTCTGCACTTTTTTGTGCTGTTTGTCCCTATGCCTTCTGTGCCTTATTTTTTAAATTTTAATTTCTTGTTACATTTTAAGTGCTGAACCCTCTCTCCTTCCCCACCTCACACTGGAGAAGGCCACCATTTGACACACATTTATAAATATATGTGAAACCATACTATGCATACTTCTATTTATCAGTTTTTTCTCTGGAAATGCATGGCATCTTCATTATAGGGCCTTTTAAATTGATTTGAGTATTTATAGTACTCAGAATAACTTGGTTGTTCACAATTATTCTTCAAACAGTATAGCTGTTACTGTATACGATATTCTCTTGATTCTGCTCACTTCACTTTTCATTGTTTCATGCACAGTAATATTCCATCACAATCATATACCACAACTTGATCAGTCATTCCCCAACTGATGGGCACCCCACCAATTTCTAGTACTTTGCCACCACAAAGAGCTGCTATAAGCATTTTAGAACATGTAGGTTCTTTTCCTTTTCCCCTGATCACCTTGGGAAACAGACCTAATAGTGTGGTATTGATGGGTCAAAGGGTATGTACAGTTTTATAACTTATAATTCCGGATTGCTTTCTGCAATGGTTGCATCAGTTCCTGGTTCTACCAATAGTGTATTAATGTTTCAATTTTTCCACGTGCCCTCCAACATTAGTCATTTTCCTCTTCTACCATTTTAGTCAATCTGATAGGTGTGAGATAATATCTCAAAGTTGTTTTAATTGTACCCTCTGTGCCTTATTAAAGTGTGATTACAGTCTCATTCCCTCCTGCCATCACGGTCTGCCAGTAGCTGGCATGGTGTAGGACAGAGCGGTGAGGAAAAATGGAGAAAGAAAAGTTGGGCTAGGTGAGTCTTAGAGATTAATGCTCAAGACTAGTTTATTTCAGGAGTTTTCTCATTATATACCCATAGAAAAACAGCTTTGTACCATGAGAAATGATCTACAAGCACTAATTAATAACACACAAACTAAGCAGCTAAAGATCCTTATTTCCTCATGAGAAAGTAGTTTTAATGCCAAAATCCATATCTATTGTTTCCCTGTACAGTTCTTAGTATTATCTGCACAAGTCAGCCACCTGGCCTCAAGGCTGGTCATGAGTGAGAACTTGGAATCAACAAACTATAACAAGTGGAATTGGAGCAAGAGTCAAGGAAGCATTTATCCCGAGGCAGGCCTCTATACCTACTGACCCCTTAAGTCTATAAGGACTTAGAGATTTTCCATAAGGACTTGGCTCCCAACAATGGTCTTTCCCAGCGAGTGCCCAAAGAACTGAGCATGCCTGCCCCATTTCATACTTAATGATCAAATTTAAAGCAAGGCCTTGAGTAAAAGCTGAGATTTAAATTAAGACTTAAAGGAAATAGGGGAATGAAGAGGTGGAACAAGGGTGTAAAATATTTAACAACTGCCTTTCTGGGAGAAGATGTAGCATAGGATACACTTTAAAGTTTAATTTGTGTTAACATTTTCTTAAGTCTAGGGGCAGCCAGGTGGCTCAGTGGATAGAGCACCAGCCCTGAAGTCAGGAGGACCTGAGTTCAAATCCAGTCTCAGACCCAACACTTGACACTTACTAGCTGTGTGACCTTGAGGAAACTGAGGCAGACAGGTTAAGTGACTTCCCGGGGTGGGTGGGTGGGGGGCGGGGAGGAGGGGAGGAAGGGAGAGGGAGAAGGAAGGTGTGTGTCATATTGCTAGTTGATAAGGCCAAATTTGAATTCAGTTCTTTGTGACTCCAGATCTAGTGCTCTATTCACTATGCCACCTAATTTGTCTATAATAGTATGGAAAGGATGCTAACAGAAGACCTGGATTCACATCCCAGCTCTATCATGTACTACCTGTGTAATGGTAGGCAAATCACTTCACCTCTCTAGGACTTATTTTCTTCTTCTGTAAAATTAACGGTTGAACTAAATCTCCAAAGGCCCTTTCCAAGTCTCTCTCTGCGATCCTATGTTGTGCATGCATGCACATTTATTACTGTGGGACTCTACCTGCTGCCTCATAATCCCAAACCCCTTCCTAAGCTTCCCATATGATTGTCCCTGCCTATACCATACAGGTTAGTAAGCTGAAGAGCCAGGATTCAATCAATGAAGAAGTATTTATTAAATACTTATTAGGTGCCAGGGACTGGGCTAAGTGCTGAGGATACAGAGAAAGGTAAAAATAATCCCTACCCTCAAACAGTTTATGATGGGAAACAACAGAATCATGTAAATAACTGTAGATACATACCAGATATAGATAGATAGATAAATGTATAGATAGATATGTAGAGAGATATATCTATATATATCTATCTACATATTCTCTCTCTCTCTCTCTGTCCCCCTCTATCCAAGGTAGAAGGGAGGTCATCTCAGCATTAGCTGCTGGGTGGACCAAGCAAGGCCTTGAGTAAAAGCTGAGATTTAAATTAAGACTTAAAGGAAATAGGGGAATGAAGAGGTGGAACAAGGGTGTAAAATATTTAACAACTGCCTTTCTGGGAGAAGAAGATGTAGCACAGGATACACTTTAAATTTTAATTTGTGTTAACATTTTCTTAAGTCTAGGGGCAGCTAGGTGGCGCACTGGATAGAGCACCGGCCCTGAAGTCAGGAGGACCTGAGTTCAAATCCGACCTCAGACCCAACACTTGACACTAGCTGTGTGACCTTGGGCAAGTCACTTAACCCCAATTGCCTAAGAAGCCAAAACAAACAAACAAAAAACATTTTCTTAAGTCTAGAAATCAACAAAACCATAAATCAAGTTCTGATCTGTAGAATGATTTCTGAGGTGTAGATAGACTGATTTCTAACAGTCAGCTGTAGTGAGAGCTAGTTGGAGTTAACTCCAGTATACCTCCAGGTCCAGGTGAGGAGGCAAGGGATATCATTATATAGGTGTGGGAAGAGAACCAGTTCACAGGGTGGGGAGAAGAGAGTTGAATGGGAGCAATAGCATTAGGTTCGTGCTGAAGGGGTGAGATAAAGGTGTAAAAGGGCTGGAGAGGCAGGAAGGGCCAGGTTATGAAGAGCTTTATATTTGATCTGGGATCCACAGAGTTCATTGAGTGGGGGGTGGGGAGGGGGAGGTGGAGTACATGTAAAAGGAAGATGTGGTCAGATGATATCTTGAAGGGAAAGCACTTACTGTGGTCATGTGACTCCAAGATCAGTGCCCTTCCCATCATATCCTGTTACCTTAACCAACATCAGTATCCCAGAACTGACTTCCTCTCAGTCCTCTACACCACAATAACTCTCACTGCCTAGCAAGGGGAGGCAAGAAAGGGACAGACTTAGTGGACCAGTCTGTAATTCTTGGATATTTTGACTTATAAAATTATTATATATTTTTATTTGTCTTAATTCATAAGGCTTTGAAATATTTATAGATGGAGAATTTGGGGATTTTCTTTCTAAAAAAATTATTTTGTATTTCACTGACTTTATAGTTATTACAACCATTAATTAGTAACATTTGGGGATGTTTTTCTAAATAAAAAATTAATTATATATTTCACTGACTTTACAGTTATCACAACCATTATTTAGTTTGTTACTTTGGGGATTTTTTTCTACATAAAAATTATTATATATTTCACTGACTATAGTTATTGCAACCATTAATTAGTTTGTTACATTCTTGGAAATATGTGAATGAGAAATTGGGTATTTTTTTAATAAAAAATTATTTTGTATCTTCACTGACTTTTCAGTTATTACAACCATTAATTAGTTTGTTACATTCTTGGAAGTATGCAAAGGTTGGTTGGTTTTTTTAATCACGTACAGCTGAAGGTAAATGAAGCTGTTCTTGGACAGGGCTGACTTTGAACAGACTGAGGTTACTTTGTGGCACTGCCCATGGGAGTTTCTTGATTTCATTCAGAGCTCTCTGTTTTAGAGCAAAATGGCAACAAAGATGAGAAACTGTGCTGTGTCCTGACCTGGACAGTGATTGTTTTGTTTTATTCTGTGCATTAGGAAGCATGTGACTGGGTAGGATGATATGTAAATCATGTGATTGAATTAGGCTCAAACTCAGCCAAGATACTGAGAAAAGTGGGAGCCTAGAAACCCAACACAGACTTCTCTGTACCAGGCTGGCAGGCACATCACCGACCTTGATGCTGGCCCCGAGTCCCATAGTCACCATGGACTGTGGGATGATCACCTCCAAGACGGTGCTTCTGCTGCTCAGCATCATCTTTTTGGTGAGTTAGCAGGGACCCCAGGGATGCGGTGGGGTGAGGTGGGGAGGAAGGGGAGGGCAGGAAAGCTCTTAATACCAATCCCTGTTCTAGCTTCTTCCTCCTGGTGAAACTGAACCTGACCACCTGCATCACAGCTGGGCTGCCTCTTTGGGGTAGGGGAGAAGGTGGGGTCTGGGGGTGAAACTGATGCGCTTGATAAAGGAAATGAAAACAAGCAAAAGTGGTTGGTGGGAGTTTGTGTGTGTATGTGTGGGTGTGTAGGATTATTAGAAAAGTTCAGGATTATTCTCCCATTCTGCTCCTTTTATGTCCTCCTCAGTCATCTCATTTTGTGGTGGTGACGTTTTCTGACCTGGGATTCTAAAGAATAGTTTCATGATGCAGTATCAACAATAAAAAAGGCAGTACCAGTCAAGGGCAGCTTTTTCAGGGGGTTATGAGAAAGAGACAAGGGGAATTCTTAATTGGCTAAAGGTTGAACATCCTGCAGGTGGGTTTGGAGTAAACATGCTGATGTCAAACAGGCTATTCTTGGGAAGAGTTTCCTGGCATCCCATTGGTTGGTGATGCTTTCCTCTGGGAAAAGGAAGATAGGAGAGAGAGCTGAGCTGATGCCATTCAGAGGAGCCTTGCTAGACTGAAGCTATTATTAGGTGGCCAAGTGGATTCTGGGCCTGTGAGTCAGAAACACCTGAGTTCAAATTCATCCTTAGGTACTAGCTATTCGACCCCTGGGCAAGTCACTTAAGCTGTGTTTTAGTATCCTCATCTGTAAAATGAGGTACTAATAGCAACCCTGTGAAGATGAAAGGAGATGTTTGTAAAAGTGCTTGACCATAAATGCCAGTTCTCCCCCTCCCCCATTATTGCAATATCCCTAGAACTGTTCCCTGGTGAGTATATGAGAGGTCAGTAAAAATCCTAGCCTTGGACCTTTTGCCTGTTCATAGCAGATGTAGAGCTGACGAGGGGACCTTATGAGAGGTTGTCTAATATAACACTTTCATATTGCCTAGCAGGGAATGGAGGACAAGAGAGGTTAAGTGATTTGCCTAGATTCACATGGAAAAAGTGGCAGAGCCAGTTCTGAAACTCTGAACATACTTCTCTTTCTACTGCACTAACATTCTCCTACTGGCTGGGCCTCAGTTTCCTACTATGTGGACTCTGATCCCCCTGCTGGCAGCACAGGCGGCAGTAACTAGCTGTGAGAGCAGCAGAGGGAGCTTTCTTCCCTTCAGCACTTAAGAACTAGAGCAGCACCCACATGCTTTTCTGCCTGTTGGTGCTTCAGAGCCCCAGTGTCCTGGTAGTTTTCCTTCTCCAACTCAGTTTGTAATGCGGAACATTTTTTTGCCATTTAGGTAGTAGGGCCCTTTAAGCCATGGAAAGCAAAGTTGGTGCTTAATCTTGCCCCAGCCTCTTTCCTCCTAAATCTAAACTAAATCTAAAATAGTGAAATGTACTCTTGCATAGCTCAGCATAGCCCGTACCTCCAATGCAAATGGATAAGAAAGCTTGCAATATAATTGCTTTAGATGATTATGTTTATACCAGAGACCAGGACACCTGGTCTGGTTTGTGTGATCTCTGACCCGTAATGCTGGGGTGCTCGGGTGCTTGTGCTTGTACTTGTGCCCCAATTTCTCCCTAGTCTCAGAAACACTGTCTCTAACAACCACTCCCCAGCCCAAGCACACTTAGCCTAGCAGTTATTCATGCATGGGCCTCAGCATGACCCTTATCTCTCTCCCTGGTACAGCTACACAGAGCTGGGCTGCTCAGGCCCCAGCCCTCAGATCATGTCTCTGGAAGCCTCCCAATTCCTTAGTAAGTTCCTGGGTTGTGAGAAAGCTTTCCCTTGTTGCAGAGCATTCTTTCATTAAGACAGAGGGACAGGGGTGTCCTTGGCCAGCCCAAGGACTCTTCCTCCTGTCAGACTCCAAAGATCATCCTCCTCCCTGTCTGGTATACTCCCTGTACTTTCCCATCCATAGCCCCCAAAGACACCTGCACCTTTGGATTACCTCATCAGTGTTCCTGGCATTTCTTTCCCATGCTCTTTTCCATATGAACCCTAGCTTGACCCCTGATCGGGGCTGCTTGATTTGGGTGTGCATACCCCTTGCAGCCACTCACTAATAAATCCACATTTTAAGTTACATCTGGGTCTCGCTTACTGATTTCTCGGTACAACAAGTTCAGCTGTTTTTCAGTTGTGTCTGACTGTTTGTGACCGACCCTATTTAGGGTTTTCTTGGCAGAGATACTGGAGTGGTTTGCCATTTCCTTCTCCAGCTCATTTTACTTTATTTATTTATTTATTTTGGCTAGGCAGTGGGGTTAAGTGACTTGCCCAGGGTCACACAGCTAGTAAGTGTTATGTGTCTGAGGCTGGATTTGAACTCAGGTCCTCCTGAATCCAAGGCTGGTGCTCTATCCACTGCACCACCTAGCTGCCCCACCAGCTCATTTTATAGATTGGGAAACTGAGGTAAACAGGGTTAAGTGACTTGCCCCAGGGTCATGCAGCTAGAAATTGTCTGAGGCTGGATTTAAATTCAGATTTCCCTGACTCTAGCCCTGACTCTGTCCACTGTGCCCAGCTTAATTACACACTCCCCAAAGGGCCTCTTCTCTGTTGTTGTTCAGTTGTGTCCGATTATGCATGGGGTTTTCTTGGCAAAGATATTGGAGTGGTTTGCCATTTTCTTCTCCAGTGCGTCCCCATCTTACAGATGAAGAACTGAGGTAAATAAGAGTGAAATGACTTGCCCAGAGTCACACACCTAGTAATGTTTGAGGCCACATTTGAACTCAGATCTTCCTGACTTCTAGTTTGGTGCTTTACCCTCTGCACCACCTAGCTGCCCCTGTTGTGTATTTATCATAAAAACTTTGGTATCCTGTGCTGTGTGAGAGTCCTCAGACATAGTTCAGAAGTTTGTCTCAGGCCTTTGATAGTCAGTGAGCAATGAATTTCCCTTTTCCAGTTGAGGAAAAGTATCCCTATCCCTTCATCCCCCCCCCAATAATAGAGGGTACTCCGGCTCTTAAAAATGTACAGGGCAGCATCTCAGACTTGAGCCACTTTAGGCTAAAATGTTCTTCCACTTTTGCTAGAAAATGGGCAAAGACTCTGATAACTGAGCCCTGTAGATCTGGCTCCAAATAACCGGCATGACCAGGGCACCAGGAGCCTTCTGTCATCTTTGCTGGTGTAGCTGTTATCGCTGCAGGTTCAGCCTTCTTCAGGAATGAGGAACAAAATCATGGGGTAAAATTCAGATAAGTAGTAATGGGCTGAATCTAATTATAGAATCATAATACAAGGCTGGGAGAGATTTTAAAGGCCAGCTAGTTCATTTTCTCTTATTCTACAGATAAGGAAACTGAGGCCCAAAAGTGTGAAATAGGTTGGCCAAGGCTACACACGCAGGGAATAAGTGGCTGAGGTGGGCGTTGAACCCTAATGCTCTGATGCTAAATGTAGTTTTCCTTCCACTCCAACAAGGTGGCGTCCTCATTGCTTTCACCCTATACTGATATACATAGATATGTGTGGGCCTGTGTAATAACTTGAGGCCCTTCATGGCCCAGGCCAATGTCAGTACCATGACAAGCCCCCTCTCCTCTCCCCAGTACCTTTGACCCACTCAAATAGAGAAGAGAGTTAAGGACAAGACATCATGGTGGTCCTACCATCCCAGTCCGTCTCAGGCTGCCTCTTCCTCATCTTCTCATGGCACGGCTCACAGCATTCTTGCTGCACCAAGGCTGGTCTGTTTTCATCCATTACCCTCATTAGCAATATTCAATACACAATACACAATAAGCAATACACAAGCAATCTGTTTCTTTCATGGCCACCTCTTGAAGTGGAACTTTCAGACAGTCCCTCCCCTCAACTGCCCACAGTACAAGGGAAGAGGAAACGTTCACTCCTGTCCTGTGAAGGAGGGCAGCACCTGCTCTCAGTATTTGTTCCAAGAGAGAGGTTTCCTGTTTATATAATTATCATGTCAAAGGCCCAGCCTAACGAAGTGTTGGCCTTAGCTCAATTACAGTGTCTGAAGTGGGTGCTTCAAAAATGCTTAAAATCAGCCAGTGAGAATGGGACTTTTTACTTTTTTTCTTTTGGCTTCCATATCTAATTACCTTTTCGGCCACAGCAACTCTCAAAGTTTTTACCAACCCATCAGTCAAACAGCAGGCATTGTGCTAGATTCTGGTGCCACAAATACGATGAGTGAAATAATCCCTATTCCTATGGAGTTTACATTTTGATGGGAGATACAACAAGGATACAGACAGACAGAGAGACTGATGGATATAAAAAATACAAAGCACAGACAGACAGATTGATAGAATAAATATGGCATAGTGAGGGGAGGAACTCAGTTGAGGGGAGCAGGAAGAGTTTCATGTAGGAACTGCTTGGGTTGTTTTGAAGGAAGAGAAAGGGATATTGAGGTGAAGTAAGGAGGGAGGGAAAGAGTGTATTCCAGGTCTAGGGACTGCCAGTGCAAAAAACTGGAGATGGGAGATGGAGTGTCATCAGAGAGGAAGAGAGAGGACAGTTTGGCTGGATCACACACAGTGGAAGGGTGAATAATATACAATACAGGTTATGACAAAGTAGCAAACAGGCTTTAAAATGCCAAGCAGAGGAGTTTACATTTGATTATAGAGGCTGTATAAAGCCATTGGAGTTGACTGAGTTGGGAAATGCTATGCTCATATTTCTGTTTGAGGAAACTCCCTTTGATAGCAGTGTGATGGATCGATTGAAGTGGTGAGAGACTGGAAAACAGAAAGACCAGTTAGGAAGCTGTTAAAATAATTTAGACGACAGGAAGATGAAGGCCTAGACTAAAGTGGTAGTTGTGTGCGTAGAGAGAAGGGATCAGATTTGAGAGATTGCAAAGGAAAACAATGGCAAGATTTAACAACGGTTTGGATATGTATGTGAGGTGAGGGAGGGATAAGGTTATAAACTT